TCTTCTGTCTTCCTTTCTCATTGTCCAGCTTCCTTAACAGCCTTGAAGTCTTCATCTGTAAAACAGAGATAATGGTAATTCCTAACTCAGGTTATTGTGGGGATTAAATGAGATAAATGCACGTCCAGTATTTTTCACAGGAGCTAACACATAAAATACTCCTTCTGATTGGAATAATGTTTAAGAAACAGTATTGGTAAGTGCTAGGAAATAAAGAAGCTCAGGTGCTCAGAAATTGAGAATTCGCTTTCCTGCTGAGGTATGTGATGAATTCCCTGTTTGGCAAGACAACCCTCAAACACCTGTGCTGAGTGGGCGGTGCCGGGCCGCCTCTGCTGTGGTTTAGGGAGTTTGATAAGAGCATAGGTCAGCAGAGCTGGGCAGCTGTGCCGAGGAGAATGGGCAAGACTAGACTCAAGATACAAGATACCCAGCTGGGAATGTGCTCATGTCCCTTGTGTAGTCTCCAGTCTCCTGAACTGTGGGGTCAGAGATATGATGTCTCTAGGAGGTCTTAGGTGCTACAGATACGTGGGCTCCAAGTGGTATTTGGCATCCTGAGTCCTTAGAAACAAAAGCAAGCTTGTGCCTGTCACCCATCCGTTTTACAGTGTTTGTGCTATGGCCCACGCTCAGTAAACTCTGTGGACTCTGACCGTAGCCGCAGACCCTGGCCAGTGCCCTGGGGAGAGGGGAGGTGATGGCTAAATGTGTTTATAGGTTTTTCAACAGAATTAAGTTGAGCTCCCGTATGTTATGAGGCATTTCTTTTATCCCTGACTTCTCCAGGGTTTTAACCATATTTGTTTTAGCCAGAGACCATCTTGGGCAACTGGAATTTATTATTTGAAAGCCAAGTGGGAAGGAGAAAGGGACGCCAACAAATAAAATCGGAAATAGGGTTTTTCGGTTTAATAGAATTAAAACTTAAACAACACTTACAAGTTCTGGCTCTTCAGTGGCTGAGACTTGGCAGCACTTCAGCTCTGACTTTGGATCCAGGGAGGGAACCTGTTTCCAAAGGAGGGACACTCCAGTCGCTCTGCCTGCTTCCAGCTGCAGGCCTCGCAGTAGACCTCTGGGCCCCAAACAGATGGAATCATGGAACTTTGTCCAAACCAATGCAAGGTACAATGGAAACAGCTCTGCTCAGAAGCAACAAAACAGCCCTGGGTTCTGCCAATGGAGATCAGGAAGCGAGTGGTTTGTAGCTGTCTAGAGGATCGTCCCCTGTACTTGTCCCTTAATACCGTCTCTGCTGTGGAGCAGCTTGATGACAGTGGCTTAGACATTGGCACAGACATTGGCACTCGGTGCTATCAAGGCCTCGTTCCTGCCTCCTGGGCCCTAACATGCAAAGATACCCAGCATACCCTTTGGGGGGGTCATGCTGGTGGAGGAGGACAGACCCTGCACCTTCTCCAAACAAATGTCCCACAACCTCACTGGATTTGTCAGAATCCTATGGATATTAAGGGGCAAATTCAGCTTTAAAAATCAGCGTTTAATTTCAAATGACTATTAATTTTCCACGAATGGGCTTTCCAAAAGAAAGCATCCTTTAATGTTAATAAAAGTTTCAAGATATGACAAGCTATTTGTACTTAAATTTTTTTTTTTCCTCCTTAAAATTCAGAGATAGAGTTATATTGGGGGTTAATTATGGCTACTTTTTATAGAATTTTCCCCCTTTGAGGGAAGAGTGAAAGAAAGGAAGGTTAGTGCTTCAGATTGGAGTGGCACAGATCTAGGCTGTATGGACTTTGACACGTTATTTAACTTCCTCAAGTCTCATTTTTCATAATTTGTAAAAGAGGAACAATAATACTTACTTGCAGAGTTTGGGTGAGGGTTCAATTAAAAGACCTAGCACAGAGTCTGGACCGTAGTAAGGGCTGAACACCTCTTACCCCGTTGCCATCGAGTTGATTCCGACCCATAGCAACACCTCTCAGTTCCACTTTAATCCGCAGTTAGATCAGTTTTTCACCAGCTGCAAACAGCGCTTTTCAAAATAGTGACTTTTAACATGTTTCACATATTTTAATAGCCCACATTTAAAATCCTAATATTATTTTCAGAATTCTTATTGAATAATTTTGCAAAATTAATTTTACTGAGTCAGCCTTTTTATGTATTCAGTTAATAAAAGGCCATTTTTAGTACTTGCGAGTCCTGTCTGTTTAACTGTGTTATGGGTAATTTTGCAGGATTTCCAGAAATTATGGCTGTCAATGGAAATGTGTGCTTTTCATTGTTTAGTGCACGGGTCTATGAGATCTGTAATTCAGTAGGTGACAGGTGAGAGTTTTTCGGATCGCACCGTCCGTGAAAGGCCTCGTAAATGTGTAATGCAGTTAACTGCTGTTGTGCCTCCATTGCTAAGAAAGGCTTCCTGTAATCACACCTTCTTGGCGTTAGTTTTTAAAAACCTAACGGCATTTTCAGCTTCTCTAAGGACCCCTAATGTTCAAACTACTTAAAAACTGTAGTCATTGTAGCAGAACTGACCTTTATTGCAAATGGCCTTGTTTTGTCCTAAAGAGCCAAGTGTTTGGCAGAACAATTCTCAGGACTCTAGTTGTCCTTGGGAGGTAATGAGCTCTGAAACTTCCTAGCGTAACTTAGGGGGTGGTTATGCATTGGCTGATAGATTTCTAGACCAGTTCCCTGACCATTAGCAGTTCTTGTATTAAGTAGGCAGGGAAGATACGAGAAGACATGAGACATCCTGTGTGTATCTGGACAGTCATTTATGCATGGACGCACACTTACCCACCCCAGATACCGTGAAAGACGCCCCCTTAAAAAATGGATTGACATGGAGAAAAGCTTGTCTTTCTTCCTTTCATTCACTCAACAGATACTAACTGAGCACCAGCTGTGTGCCAGGCCAAGGGTATTCCGTGGGAAACAGGCACCTATCCCATTCCTGACCTCTTGGTTCCTCTGGTACCCTCCCCACCAGAGGCCAACACTAGTATTTGTTTCACAGAGATAAGAATATATTTGCATGTGTAGCTCCTTCTCCCTCCCCCCTTTTTTTAAATCTAAGTGACAGTATACTGTAAGCCTCATCTGGACAAGGGGCCATATCAGTCTAACTCATTCTTTTTTTATTGCCACGTAGTATTCCACTGTATGGTTGAATGATCATTTTGTTAGTACTTTAATGATCAACACATACATAGTTCCCAGGAGGTTGGTTGTTTTTCTTGTACTTCTGTTTTACCCTCTTTCTTCTGCCTTGCATATCCTCTAAAATGTTGATTTCCTTCCTTGTCATTTCATCCCGGTGATTCTGGGAAGTGGGACTCAACGCCCCTGTCTTAGAGACACTCCCCCTTGCGTCTACTTCCTGACAGATGTAGGCAAGCATGAGTAAGTTAGATAGACCCAGTAAGGCCTTCTCTTCTCCCCCACAGATTCTTTGTGATCAGTGATCAGGGGCCAGCTGATAAACTTTGGTACTCCAGTGTCTACTTCTTTTAATGATCAAGAGCTTTAGGAGAACTGATGCAGTTTGCAGACACCGTACCTCATCCTTTAGGACTCTGGCGTTTCAGGCTGCCCAGTCTGCCCACACTGAGTGTTCTTGGTGGAACAGAGCTCGCTACCCTCAGGACTTTGCTTTGCTCCTTGACTGCAGTAGGCTTTCTTTTCTCTTCCTTGTCCTCACTCTTCCTGTGTGGTTCTGCATCCACTATGATGTAGAGAATTGCGAAGAGCAGTTCAGGCGCGTTAACTTTAAATGTACTGTAACTAGCTCACTCCCTTTTGGTACAGCGCTATGAAGTATATCTAGTTTCGTTTCTGGAAACCTTCACTGTCAGCAGGTTGCTTTCGTACACGGGGTCCCGATAAGTAGGAAGCGCCTTCCTAACCTGAGTCTTCAGAGACGCTGGACGTGACCTTGATCACTCGCTGTTGCTTCAGCTGCAGCTTCTGTTCTGTGTCAGTTCTGCTCATCTTCACGCTGACATCACCATCCCGCCTCTGGGTTTCAGTCCTTCCACGTCCAGTTGTGTCTGTCTCTTCGCTAACCCCCTACTCTCCCCTCCGTGCAGATCCGGTTTCTTTACAGCACGTTTCCCTTCGGAGCTCGCTTTTTCTCTTTTTCCTGTTTAACTATTTCAGTTTGTCCTCCAGCAGCATAATTTACGCTTCTCTTTTATTATTTCTCAATCAGTTAGTCGATTGGCCTCGCCTCTCTACCTTTAAAGCCTTGTTTCTTTATTTTAAAGGGTGTTATCGTAGTGCTAACCCACCGATTTCTTCATTCCAGCAGTGAGTGAAGTTAAACAAACAAAAATAATGTTCCATATCTTTTATAATTTTCAAAATTGAGAAATGTCAAAATTCTCTTTTAAATTGTGTTCTTTTTTTTTTTTTTTTTTTTTTTTTTTCGTTAGAAAGATTTCCTAGACTTCCTCTTACAATTCTTTATTTCTCTCATTGGTCACTTTATCA